ATCTATATATAACAAATTTAATCACAATGTAAACAAATTCAAACATCCTCATACATTATCCATATAAAAAATTCATCATATAATAACCTAGGACATTATATACTACCATATGCTATAAGGGAATTAACACATTATTTTCAATATGTAATCATCAATTAGCATACAACAACAACTTCTACATAACACAAAATAATTAATTGGAGTTCCACTAATCCAATAAAAATCATCCTTATCTCATGTGAAAGATAAAAAGTTTATTTACAACTCTTATGAAGACTTCAAGTTTTTAATCCATCATTACTATATTGAAAATTATAAAAACTAAAGCAGTTTGTTTAATTGATGACAACTTGACCCTTTTTCAATAAAAGGTTATAATTGGAGTTCTAAACCTCATTTTTAGGTTATTCCAAAGCCATTGAAATGTTCACATCCAAGGCTACAACTTTCATGAAAACCCCAAGATCAAATTCAATCATTTACCCATATCATTGTAGTGTTGAATTTGGCGTTTTAGTGTTGGATTTCTGTCAACCTAATTTTTTCTCATGGTTGTAGCGCTCAATTGCCACTACAAGCTAGGTCTCGATCATCCCAATTTTTTCCCATGGCTGCAATGCTCAACTACGGTTGTAGCACTAGATCTCGACCATCCCAATTTTTTCTCATAGTTGTAGCACTCAATTATGCACAAAGTTTTTCTGCATATTCATGGTTTTCCCTTCGCTTCTCACATGTACTTCACAATTTTTATTCCTAAACATCATCTACAACATCATTTTCATTGATTTATCCACACCAAAATGACATGCACCCAAATTTACACAATTAAGTTCATGCCTTTTGCATCTAAACACAAATCCCAACTTCAACATGAAATAAATTCAAAATCAGCCACTATAATGAAAACCATCATCTCATCTTCCTCAATAACAATAAGATGAATCATACATGACAATCTACACAAAATTTATGGACAACACAAGCTTCCTTTTCCTCGTTGATGATCTAGAACTGACAAGAGGAAATGGGGAAGATGACGGGCTTCGTATGACTTCAACTTGGGGACTCTTGGCTCTGGGGCTTTGAATCACCCACACCAACTAAATTGGATCAACTGCAAGAAGAGAGGGAGAAATGGGTCTTAGTGAAGAAAGGGGAGGGAAAATTACAAAGAAGCTCTATCTAATTTCTCTTTAAAAATTTATGAAAAAAATTTGAAGTTATGAGCCCCTTTTTATCAAGAAAACCCATATAATTCCCTTTTAACTCAAAAATAACCTTTTACTAAATCACACCATTTACAAAAAAACACTTTAAACATGAATGTTACATAATTCATAAAGAGAATATAATTAGAAAATTAGTTATGACATTTCATAATTGTATCACAATCGTAAATGATTAAAAAAAATATGTTGGGCTAATATTATTTTTTATTTTCTTTACAAATAAATAAATAAATAAATAAAAACTCAAAATAAAGAGCTTAAAAGTAAGAACATTAAATAAATTGTTCATCAACCCCTCCCTAAGAAGAGAAGTTCGTGCATAGAAAAGTTTAGATTGTGCAGATCAATACAATACCACTTGGGACATAAAATAGTTGTATGACACAATGGTTTACGTAATTATTTAATATAAA